GGATATCTGAGTTTAACATTTTTTTTAAGAATATCTTCTTTGCAAGGTCGAATTTTGGACAAGCATACTTGTTGCGGAGGTGTAGGTTATTAGAAAAAACAAAAAGATATCAGAAGGTATTATTTGTGTTGGCTGCGTGAAAATGAACTTCTCCACAAACATTTAACTTCGGGTATGGTACAAGGCTATCAAATCCAAAATATAAAACATTTATATCAACAATATACAAGACTGAAGAATGAATTTTTACTCAAGTAATTTAAACTGTGTTGCAAATTGTTACAAAGTATATATTATGTAGCATTACAAGTAATAATATACCAGGAGTTATTTCCCTTTATTTGGAAATTCTTAAAGCCTTAGTTTTAAGAGAAAATATTTTTATCTGAATTCACAGAAAAGATTTCAGTTCATGAAATAAAGTTCAGTCTCAATGAAAGAAATGTTCTTCGATAAGAAGATGTTGTATGCTGAAATCCGATGTAAGATAAGTCCAAAGAAACTTGTTGATTGAGAGAAAATGTAATCTTCACTTGACTATCAAAAAGTTGAATTAACTTGCTGTTTAAATTGTTCACCAAAGCGAGTTGAATATGAGTGAGAGAATTTTGGAAAGCTGAGAATATATTGTTAAGAACTTTTAGCTCCAGAAGATTTTGAAGTAATTTTTCTCGTAGATAAAAAAACTGGTAAGAGTTAGGTTTGTTGCTGAAGAAAAATCTCACTGTTAGAAGTTTAATAAATTTCTGTGTAAGGAGTGAATGAGATGAGTTCAGAGATGTGCAATGTATGTATGTACATGTGTGCATGTGTCACAGCATTTTCCCAGAAGGGACAAACATAATCTGTCTTATGCTACATCTTGTATGTGTGAGAGAAGGCAAAAGAGAGAAAAGAGAAAGAGTTGAAGATGTCGCTTGTATTTATAATGTTGTATGTCACGTGATAGGCTCAAAACACAGACAGATTTTTGGTGGTAAATTAATTTTACCTGTGCAGACGAGTGGAAAGCATGATATTAGCTTTAATTGACCAAACAGGAGTCAGAGAAATATCAAGCCTCTGTGATCCGCTTTTTTACAGATTTTATCGATCACAGTGCTGTTATGTAGGAAATGTATTGAAATCTTTTTTAACCAATGTAATTAATTAGATCACAAATAAAATATTATTAAATTGAAATAGGACACTAAATACTTTTTATTTTCTTCCAAGGATTCTATCCATAATCGATTTTTGTTTTTAAAATTGTTTATTGCAAAAAACTTCTTTTTAATAAATAAACATATACATAATAATTATTATGTTTATTTATTTAACAATGATGTACACATACAATAAATTTAAAGGAGTTTTGATTTTGATATGTAAACTTATTGTGCTTTTGATCTTGTGTCCCTGCCTACCAATCTATGAAACCTCACTCTACTACATCTCAATTTTCATAAGATTGTATTTATATGAAATATAAATTTTATTGTAACCTAATTTTTTTTTTTTTTTTAAGCATTTCACCCCAAGCAAGGCGGGAAGCCACTAGGATGCAAGGGGTTACAGAAAATTTAGAGCAAGATCAGATAGGAGTAATAGAAGAAAGGATGAGGGTAGTGGATAGATCAAGGCAACTGGAGATGTCAATTGACATTACACTTAAATAGCTGGAGATTATAGCTCACAGGGAAACAGGAATAGGGGAGTTCCACAGGCGAGAGGTGCAAGACATGAAGCTATTGGAGTAGAAGAGACGGCTACATTTAGGAGTTTCGACAGTGAAGGGGTGAGAGCGATATGCCAGCCTCGTATGGTGCTTGAACTCATGATGTCTGGGAACCAGCAAATGCAGCTCCTCGGAGCAATTTCCGTAAAAGTATTTGTAGAACAGGCAGAGGGAGGTGATGGCGCGTCTGTGAGAAAGTACAATAATGGATCATATGCAATATAGGTGAACAATTCAACTAGAAAAATTGAAAATAAATACAGTGCATCTAAAAACAAATTAGAGACATGTCATAATAGATCATTCTATCTTAAATAAATCAACAATGTTTTGTGGTTATTTTTAACATCAACTTGTGATTTTTCTTGTTAAAAGTTGAATAATTTTAACACATTCAGCATTATGGATAAAAAAATTGTGGATTTGGACAAAAAAAGGCCTTGAATGACATTAAAATCTGCAAAGATTTTTCATCAATTGTACTTGGTTTAATTTATAATGTATGCAAATGTAGGTAAAAAAAAGCAAATGTTAAAAAGATAATGAGGGTCACAAAACACTGGCCAGGGCTCCCAATCAAACTCTGTGCCTCCAATACAATTTAATAATACAGAAAAGGTCCTGATGCATATGAGAGATAGAGTCCAGGAGGAAGCAAATATCATACTTATTATAAAACCCATGTTGTATGTGTGTGTGTGTCTGTTCGTTTATATATTGGATCGGATTTCCTACACTTTTCAACCGATTTCAACAAAACTTCACAGGACTACATAAAATTACCTTGCGATAGTTCTGACAGCACCAAAAATTGGAAAAACACAATTGTTTTTGCAAAACAATCAATTTGAAAACACAATTAAAAGGCACTGCTGTCACGAGAATAAAAGAGGGACAACTCATATCGAGTTATACTTATTATAAAACCCAGGTTGTTTGTGTGTGTGTGTGTGTGTGTTCCTTTATATATGGGATCAGATTTCCTACATTTTTCAACCAATTTCAACAAAACTTCACTTTTTTTTTTGGCAGGTAGTGTTTCTTATTGTCTTGCACGCTTTTTTCTTTATTTTTACATTCAGAATGCTTTAAAAATTCCATTTACGAGACAATTGTTTATAATAAAATTCTATTCAATCGGTAGACTCATAACGATTGAAAACAATGTTTTTGCTTGAGTTTGGGTTTGACCAATTCATAAAAAAAACAAAAACAAACAAAAAAGAAAAAAAACTAATTAAGACATGCGTGTTCGTCAACCTTAAACAATAATCTTTGTCAATTTTATTTTTCAGTCTTTATGATGGTCGATACTTGATCTATCTCTTACTGTTACATCCCTGGGCTCTACTGCTAGTATATATGTGTGTGTGTATCAAAATGTAGCAGCTGCCTCTTGACCATGTGGTGAAGGAAGGTATGTTTTTCAATGTTGGTGACATTTTTTTCCATATAAGGTTGACAGTTTGTCATACAAATGTTGCAGATTTTCTTTGCGAATGTTATGATGACCACATCATTGGAGAATGGTCAAAATTTATCAATTCTGATTTTCCATTTGTTCATATACACATCCACTTTGAAAAGACTGCTTGCTTCTCATTGGACAATGGTTTTGTAGCCTGGTTATGAAAGCTTTCTTATTGGTTGGTTGAACTATGGCTTTGTTTGCTTGGCAATTTTTATTATCTATTTTTAGAGATAGTGAAATTTTGGCCTTTTTGTTATTTCTCTACCACTACATCTTATTATGATCTCCCATGACCCAAATGGTTAGGGCATGCTTCATCTATAGAAGTGGTTTCCCTGATAAAAAAAAGGGAATACAATTTTGATTCCTTATTTACATGGTCAGGCTGAAAGGTTTTCAGCACGTTTTTGTATATCATGTTTTAATGTACAATAATATACTTAATGTCAACAAATCCTTCCCTAAAACAAAGCAGAAGCTAGTAAGATAGGATCTGGTCTTGTACTGAACTCTCAGAGTACCTCATGTAAATTAAAAAAGAAAGTAACTTATTAAGGCAGAAATGTATAGAAAGTGAATTAATTTCTGAGTCTTTCACTGTAAATTTACATCTAAGCTCATATAACAATTCACCTTTCTTAACAAAACCAGTGATATTAAAATGTAGGATAACTTAAATTTAGAAATTAAATTTAATTGTCACTGCATTTCCAGTTTTTCTTTCAATGTTTAATTATAACAGACTCTTACTTATATTTCTCCCTTACATATATATGATTCTATTATTAATAGCATCAGTCTGAAGAAGTCCTTTCGAAGGATGAAATATAGTATATATATGGTTTCCATTTTGTCATTCAATTACCCACTTTTACTCTCATATATTGAATAGATATATCATTCTCCCAGATATTCAAAAAAGATAAGCATATTTCTATTAATATAGGGAGCATGGACATATTCCTATAAATACAAGGGAACATGTACACAATTCCATCACTAGAAGGGAACGTGTACATAATTCCATCACTAGAAGGGAACGTGTACATAATTCCATCACTAGAAGGGAACATAAGCATTAATAGCCCTATTAATATAAGTGAGGATATGAAAAATTATTGAAGGATGACCAACTTTTGCGTAATGTCTATCATCATACATTGAATGCAAAAAGTTATCACACACAAAGAAGAAATAAAAATGATGTAATTACAAAAATGTTTTATTGTTTACATGTTAAATTTAACACTTTTGATTTTAAAAATACAGATTTTTTTAAAATGTACAATGAATGTCATTCAATACCACAAATGTTTGAAGAAGCACACCCCCTCCACTTTCCCCAAGACATTTAAAATAAATGCCCCTCTCAAAATAAGCAACCTGGAGTAATTAAACAAATATATTTGAGAAACCAAAGTGGGTTGCTTATTTGGATCTGGGAGTTGAAAGACAAGAAGTTAATTTAATCAAAATATATTTTCTTTAAAATATCTTTTTATAAGTGTCCCCACGTGCTAAATTGAACATTTGTAGTACATAAAATATATATCAGGCATGTGACACCAAAATGACGAACTTACATCACTCTCTTGGTTGTTTTGTTTTCTTATTAAAATCTTTTTTTGTCTCAAAGTCAGAATTTTTCATACTAAAAGTATGGAAAATTCTGATTCGTTCACCTCTGTGGCATTAAGGTTTTACTGAAAAAAAACTGCTATTGGTGAATTTGCCCGCATGACATAAATTTTGTGATGTGTATAATGTTATGATCATTTTACTGAAAACCAGATACTTTTGCATTAATTTCAATTATTCCATTTCCTGACAGATGCCATGGTGGTATTCCAATTCCTCATTTGTTGAAAAGTATTTGTGACATCGTTCACATTGTTTGAACGGCTGAATATCTTCTTCTTCTTCTTCTTCTTCTTCTTCACAGTCAACTACCAAATCATGTAGAATGCGTCCAGCATACACTTTTGGTGAACATCTTGTGAAACAGGGATTATTCTTTGCTGGAACAATATTTTGGTTCTGAAATAAATAAAGTAATAACAACTTACAAACAAGAGATAAGCAAAATTTAAATTAGACACAAACGCACTCTATGTAGTAGGCATCCATTTATTTATTTTATTCTGTCCTTCCAATAGTAACCTCTCCAGGGCACAGGCCTGGGTGATGGTATATTGTGGCAGTGTGCTGCCCAGACCACATGCACCCTCTCTCGGCTATACTGACAAGATCCAAATAAATACAGGGCATTACATTTGTGGCTGCCTTGGCCGCAAGAGTTGCCAGAAAGTTGTCAGTGTTGACAACTAACAGATTGATTGATTTGTTTTTTTACAGCTTTTCAACCTTCTGCAGGTTATTTAAAGCCAGAAAATATTTTTAGATTGTAAGTTTTTTTTTTTTTTGAGACAATAATGGTTTCATGATACAAGTCTTACTAATTAACCCATAGTTAGGGAGGAAAGAGGTGGATTCATATCTTTCCCAAAAGTATTTGCATGTAAGTGAATATAACGAATCCACCTGGAATTGGAACTTGACTCTCCGATTAAAAAATTCTGAGCCATAACCATTACACCAGGCACACAGCCAACTTTGCATCATGTGGATTTTCTCAAGTGGTCACCCATCTAGGTACTGGCTAGGCACAACATTGCTTAACTTTGGTGATTGTATGAGAACTAGTGTTTCAACATGATATGGCTGTAAGTCATAACCACCTTCGGGATCCTACCAATAGAAGAATTAATTATACATATAATAACATTGTCATTAAAGCCTGACCATTGATTATCCATTTTTTCAAAGATTGCAAAATTCAGCTCAAACTTTCAATATTATCAGAAATATTTAAATTGTCAGTACAGAAAATGACGAAAGTTAAATTGGACAAATGTTGGAGTCACAGTAAAGTCAGTGGGCAGCAATAAGAAAAGCAAAAACCTTGCTTATACATACCAGGTTCAAGTACAGTGAATCCTAAAATCCAATGTTTCATTGTTTACCCTAATAGCAGAATTTGCTGTGTCACCATATATGTTGACAGTCAACTGCCTTCAGGGCTCCACTCTGGATTTTTTGTCTGGATTTTCTACCATAGCCGTTTGTATTTAGATATGACCACAAGGAGTGGAGGTTAAGAATCAGGATTTTCCTTACCCTAGAAGGACTGCCTTTCTGGTCTGTTGAGCTCCATCTACCTGAAGCAGCTGGTTAGAAGGTGCCAATTGTCTGCCTTCACCCATTTCCCAGCTTGGAGCTGAATTTAGTTGCTAGAGGCTATTTGAGACACATGCCATGGAAGTATTTTATAGACAGTGGGAGCTTGTCCCCACTATCACCTCCTGTTATGACAACCATTTCAATCTAATGAGAAACATTAATATTTGCTCATTATAATTCTGCTTGTTCTTTACTTAGTTACTTATGCCCTGCCACTAACTTATAAATCATGGACTATTCTGCTCTGATTGTGAAGAACAACAAAAAAGACGTATAAGAGATGCTGTTTGGTTTCAGTGAGAGAAAGAAAGAGAAGATAATGCTCTCATGTTTTTAATGTGTGCTCAGTGAAGTGGAAAACTTATCAATTTGAAATCTTTTCATTTGTACCTTCATAATAATGGCCTGCATTCATACTTATGTTGATTTTCGAAGTGTAGTTTAGATGTGGCACAAGGCTGAAAGTATGGGACACCCAGCAAGGATCAAACTTATTCAGTCATAATTGTTCTAGTGAGACAACATTGAGGTATCCATGCATTCATACTTATGACTGTTATTGGAATATTTGGTTAAAGTGGTTAAACTCAGATATTCAACAATGTGATAGGGGAATTTCCATGAGTAGTTTATAATTGAAGAGCTCACAAGGGGCATATTCAATCCTTATTAGTGGCTATATAAACTTCGGCACTTGTTAGTAATTTCTACTTGACTATATTAGTGAATGCCAACCTTATAACATTGACAAATTGATTAGAAGAGCAAGAAAAAAAAAATAACTTTACTCAGAGAAAAATTTGTTTGAGGTTACTTCACATAGCCTAAAAAAAACAGGATAGGTTTCTCAAAATCCTAACACGGAATAACTTTAGCCTAACACAAGGAGAGGTTTCTTGAAATCCTAACAAGCAATATATTAAGCCTAACACAAGGATAGGTTTCTTAAAATCGTAAGAAACAATAAATTAAGCCTAACATAGGGACAGGTTTCTCAAAATCCTAACAAGCAATAAATTAAGCCTAACACAAAGACAGGTTTCTCAAAATCCTAACAGGCAATAAATTACGCCTAACACAAGGACAGGTTTCTTAAAATCCTAACAAGCAATACATTAAGCCTAACATAAGGACAGGTTTCTCAAAATCCTAGCAATCAATAAATTAAGCCTAACACAAAGACAGGTTTCTCAAAATCTTAACAAGCAATATATTAAGCCTAACACAAAGACAGGTTTCCCAAAATCCTAACAAGCAATAAATTAAGCCTAACATAGGGACAGGTTTCTCAAAATCCTAACAAGTAATAAATTAAGCCTAACACAAAGACAGATTTCTCAAAATCCTAACAAGCAATAAATTAATCCTAACACAAAGACAGGTTTCTCAAAATCTCAACAAGCAATAAATTAATCCTAGCACAAAGACAGGTTTCTCAAAATCTTAACAAGCAATACATTAAGCCTAACACAAAGACAGGTTTCTCAAAATTCTAGCAATCAATAAATTAAGCCTAACATAGGGACAGGTTTCTCAAAATCCTAACAATCAATAAATTAAACGTAACACAAGGACATGTTTCTCAAAATACTTTCAAGCAATAAATTCACAATAAATAACTTATTTGGTCATCAGGCAGATGTTAGAATGATTTGATTTGTTTTTTAAATGGCACATTAACTCCTTATGGCTCATTTAAATGCAAAAATTTGAAGTAATAAAAATATTGTATATGTTATTCTCCTTCCACAGTTGATTACATGGTAGATGCTACACAAATTTTATGCACATACATGTTTGTGTGGACATAATTACTAAAGGTGGTGTATGTGTATCTTATATTGTAATTTTGCTGAAGTTATATTTTGGAATACAGTTTGATTTCTTAAAAAATTTGTAGGATATTATGTGGATTAATGTAAAGAAAGAGTACTTTCATATTGATTATTTGGTCGATTTTATTTAGTGGCATATCAACATCTATGGGTTATTTAATGCTAAAATTTAAATATTTTGAAAGCAATTGTATGCCTTCAACTACAGCTAAAATGTATTGTTTGTAATAAACTGTATTGCTGGTGTTTTTACTATAAAAATGTATTCATAGTTTTTTTGTTTTTTTGGTGGTTCACTATTTGCCTATAGCTGGGGACCCTAACAAGTGCTACTGCTCTGGATCGGGGTGGACATGGAAACAACAGTAATTAAGATGTGGTTCCATGCTCCTCAAAACACTTTTGATCAGAGGCCTTGCTACTCAGATGCTAGAATGTATGAACAGACACTACTTAACAGCACAGTAAGTTTTATGCAGTAGCAACACTTTGAATCATTGTAATTTTTTAAAGACAAAAGAACTTTCAAGAATTTTTGAATGAAGAAACATGTAACCTATAATGTCATAAGCAGAATTTATTAAACAAATGTGTCAAGACTTTCATTCTCTCTAAATGCTTAAATGTTTGTCGATAGAACAAAACAATTATTATGATTGCATTTTAAACCATATTTGCACAATTATATGTAAGACAGTGTGGACATATGAACCAACACTACATGGAGACTGTCAGTAGTGTGAAACTAACAGTCACCATACAATGCTGATTCATATATTCACATTGTCTATAAATGGCCAATCTTCAATATTAATATAGAAAAATATAAAAAAATGTCTCTCTCTATATATATATATATATATATATATATATATATATATATATATATATATATATATATATATATATCTTTCTATGCAGGACAACTTGCTTGAAGTTAGTATGAGGCACATTGACAAATGAGAGGTTATTCTTTAGCTTGTCTTTATACCTGAGCCACTGCCATTGAATAGTCCTTTGTCCACTGTCAAGCTGGCTATACATGAAGACCTTAGGTATTCTGTCATCACTCATTCTTGCAACATGACAAGCCTAGTGAAATTGTGACTGCATCAGGAAAGTTTCAATTCCAACAATGTTGCATGTTCATACTATTGTCAAAAGTATAGCCACAAATTGTGCAGAGCTATTATAGAGTGAATAAATAAATGAAAAGTTCAATGATGTATTTTCCAATTCCAAGTTTGACTGATATAGATCCACATGTCAAGGGTAAAATAAACCTATTGAATTTATTAAAAAATATCATATCTATTTTAATTCTTAAATAAGGCAATTGTATGTGATTGTAAAAGTATTCTGTGGCTGAGTGGTCTAAAAGCATGTCAGGCTTAATGGTTGTTTCTCTTATAAGGGGTACACAATTTTGAATCCTGTTGGATTGTTCTACAGAGACTTTGTCTGTAAAACATAATTGAAGAAAATGATGTAAGCGCTGTTTTTATATAATTTTAAAGTACTCAGTAATCTTTAAAATTTAAGAAAATATTCCTTGTAATCTAGAGTTTTATTGAATTTTAGAAATTTTGGCTTTAAATTTAATATATATATCTTATTTTCTGATAATGTCATGTATGGTCTACTGTACTTACAAAATCAGCACATTTATACACTAATAAAAAATAGAAAATTCTTTTAAAAATCTTAGCATGTGATGTACTAAGCTTTGCCATTTATGTAACTATAGTTTTTACTTAATACCAATATCAACTTTATAAATTATTTTAATTAAAAAGTAAAAAAAAAAAAAAAAAAAAAAGTAAACAATTCTTGTAAAAATTCATTATTCATCAAAAAATCTTTTTCTTAAGATAACAGTGTCCTTCATATATCTCAATTCTAAAAGTAATTAAAAGCTTTTCTAATTAAATAATGTTATAGTTTTATTGCATTTTTTATTTTACGATTCAGAGCAGATTTTCGGTAAATGAGTAAATATTTGAAAAAAAAAATTGATGATTTACATTCTCCAAAGAGTCCTGCTTTTAACTAATGTGAAAAATTAGTGGATCAAAATTTAATTTCTTAAAACTTCATAAAATTAAGAGGGGTGTAACAGCTGTAAAAAAAAAAATATATTTTTATGAAGATTTTCTAGAAAGAGAATATTTCAAGAATAATTTCATTCATCTTTTAGTAAGATTTTCTAGAAAGAGAATATTTCAAGAATAATTTCATTCATCTTTTAATAAGATTTTCTAGAAAGGGAATATTTCAAGAATAATTTCATTCATCTTTTAATAAGATTTTCTAGAAAGGGAATATTTCAAGAATAATTTCATTCATCTTTTAATAAGATTTTCTAGAAACAGAATATTTCAAGAATAATTTCATTCATCTTTTAATAAGATTTTCTAGAAACAGAATATTTCAAGAATAATTTCATTCATCTTTTAATAAGTCCTGAAAATCTCATTAAAATCCGATGATTGTTTGATTTTTTTAAGAATTTCCAAAACAATGTGTTTTTTAACACAAAAAAGACACTAAATTTCCTATAGTAATCTTTGGCCTACTGATGATACAAAAAAAAAAAAAAGAAAAGATTTTTAACCAAAATTTTGAATGTGCTAGAAAGGATTAAAAGAATTAATAAAATAATAAAAAAATACTTTAGTAATTTTATTCCAATTCAAACTAGTTTAATCAATTGAACTACTTAAGAGTCTTTCAAATATTTGTTGGTTTATGCCTTCTTTAACATTTAGTTTGGGTTGATGGATTTTATAACAAAAACATTTTGATGCTAAAACTTTGTTTTCATCAAGTTTGGGGCCTTTTCCATCATGCTATGCTGTTTTTTAACAAAGAACTGGAGGTACCTATGTAAGAGAAAAGAATATTTCTTTCAACATACAGACACTACCAGACAGAAATTAGATGCCCACTAGATGCACACACATAATCAACAAAAATTATACATACAAACACTACCAGACAAGACAAATATAAGTGAGGTCTACTTAACCAATGACAAACAAACAACATAAATATAAAAAATACCAGAATTTTCTATTCTCTTCCATATTTCATTTTTGGTGAAGTTTATTATAAACATTTCCTATTTGTTCCTTATCCTATCATATATATGCTACCAAACAACAGATTAATAAGCAGCATAAGGATCATACTAAAATTAGACAACTACTCACAAACAATACCAAAATACTAAGAAAATCAATACTAAAAACAGATTTATGATCCTTGAAGCAATACATATACAGCAAAGACAAACATCTATAAATAAAAACAATTATAATTTAAGAGCCTGCTTTTTCAAATCTATAAACAAAAAATATAAACACACACACACGACATACCTTGTCAATGTCACAATAGTCTTTGCACATGTAACTACACTCACGAGTTCTGTGAAACTCACCATTTGTCTCTACCTACCCTTACGATGACTTAAGAAAGTCAAAAGCTTGGACCATATTTCTTCCAAGATGAATTTGAAAAATTTTTGACAGAATTCCCTCTTTATCTGTGAAGGGTTATTTGTAATTTGGAAAAGTTGAGCAATAAAATTAATCGACACATAATGTCTGTTGTCTTTAATAACATTCACCATTTCTTGTAAAAATTCATTATTCATCAGAAAATCTTTTTCTTAAGATAACAGTGTTCTTTTGAGGCCATTCTTTAAAATCTCATTTCTAAAAGTAATTAAATAATTAAGTAAGAGACAACCTGATGAACCAGGAAAAAACATATTTTCTGGGGAAATAAATTATAGTCATGGAGCCTTAAGGTTGTCTCTTTCTTAATTATTTAATTTATATTTGCTCTGATGTCACATTGAACTCTCTGCATTACATCTTCTTTGGAATTATCCACACAGATTACCAAACCCTTCATTACCTTACTATATATATATATATATATATAAAATGAAATGGACTAATCTGATAATTATTTAATATACTTTCTGTTTATACGTTATTTTTATAGATACAAATATTCAAGTAAATGCTCTGTTTTTAATAAACAGCATTAACTACATTTACTGGCCTGAATATTTGAGAAATTTCATAGAAGATATATGTCCTCTGACAGGAATCAAACCTGTATCCTACATGGAACCATCATATAGCCTGACGTGCTATACCATTTAGCTACAGAGGAAGCGTCTGGTTAGCAAAGTCAAATTACTGTTTTTAAACAACAAATTTCCCATGATTTTTCTTGAACACTCATATCTGCTCGAAGCATATCTTAGCATAAACAAATGAGATATATTATGAAATGGATTAAGTCTGACAATTATTTAATATATTTTCTATTTATATGTTATTTTTATAGATACAAATATTTAAGTAAACTATCTGTTTATAATAAACAGTATTAACTACATTATATATATATAAAAAACAAAATAAAATAAAACAAAAATAAAAACAAGGTTTTGATTATTCTTATTGATTAAGCATAGAATTTTGTAATTTTTTAATTAAAACTTATTTTAATTATCTTAATTCTTGTACTCAATATGTTGTGCAATGAAAAAAACAGGAAAAGTGGATTGTCAGTGATCAGGAATTAAGGCAGGCATTATAAAGAGATTAGAGCTTATTATAAAGATAATACAGATAGTAGCTGTGTGTATGTAATGAAGTGTTACCTTAGCTTCAAGAAGTTTCTTTTCAGTATTTTCATGGAGCTCCTTCTCTCGCTTCAATTTTGCCAGAGATTTCTTTTCATTCTCCTGAGCTATTTTTTTTTCTGACTGTACTTGATTAAGCTGAAGGGAGGAAAAAAAAATCCAAGAATGGAAGATTTGCAATTAAAATAAATAAACAGAGATAAACAAGTAAAATAAAATTCTAATGCAACATTCAAAATTTGATACCTTATCTAGTTCTTTTTTTTACTAGCAGCTTTTCATGTAGTGCTTCAGTTAAACAATATCTATTTCCACCAAAAGGGTTCACCACTTTTAGCGCACAGAGGTGAGAATTTGCTCATTGCTAATGATGACTAGTTTTCAGTGGATTTGTGGGGAAAATAGAAATGGCTTATCACCCAAACGCCCTCGCGTCTGTCTGGCCTGTGGGTTGAGAAAAGAAAGAAAGGGTCCAAGATGGCATCCGTGACTTTTTAATATTCACGGTCTCATGCAGTCTCGCAAGGTCGCGTTACATGCATGCTAATGAGGTGTGTCTGGGCTCCATAAAAGCAGGTCGCTTGGAGAAATTGGCAGAAGCCATTATACCCGTGTTCGGGTATACATTGTTTTGCGTTGCGTCGTGTCAGACATTTTCCTACGGAAAGAGTTGCGTCCCTTACACTCCATATTGAATTTGACTCCTTTGCTACAGGATTAAATTAATTTCGTTTTAGTGCTCATGAAAGTCATCCTGATGAATTATAAATTTAGCCAAAACAATTGTCAAGATTAATGGGATCACTCTGTATTCCTGTAATTGGCTATAGACTATCATTTGAAAATTAATTTTTATTTATTTACCTAACATATAAAATATAACAAGTGCTAATCTTTTAACACAGTTTAACAGAGGAGCTAAATGTCAAAGATAGCCCTGTCAGTAGGGTTTAGAATATACTGAGTGTATTAATGCAGAGGAGAAAGAACCTCACACACAATAAGAGAGCACCATCCAAGGGGATGCCTGCAGTATAAACACAATCAAGGTTTACCTGCAGTCTCAGTTATAAACACAATCAAGGTTTACTTGCAGTCTCAATTATAAACACAATCAAGGTTTACCTGCAGTCTCAATTATAAACACAATCAAGGTTTACCTGCAGTCTCAATTATAAACACAATCAAGGTTTACCTGCAGTCTCAGTTATAAACAAAATCAAGGTTTACTTGCAGACTCAAGTATAAATGCAACCATTTTTTACCTATAGACTCAAGTATAAGCATTATCAATTTTTACCTATAGACTCAAGTTTTTACCTATATATACCAAATCATATTTTAACATTAAATAACCCAACAAAGATTGATATGTCATAAAATCTATCAACCCAAACTAAAATTTAAAAGAAACTTTAAAGAATTTTAAAGAATGTATAAACCAACAAATATTTGAAAGACTTTTGAAGTAGCTCAAATGATTAAACTAGTTTGAATTAGAATAAAATTACCTTTTCTTTAAATCCAAATTCTCTTGTCTTAAAGATTCCGATTCCAATTTTTGTTTCTGCAAATAAATTGGTGGGAAAAAAAAAGAACTTTCATGAAAATTGAGAAATCTTTGTAGAACAGGGGAGTAAAGAAAAACACAGTATATGTGTGTGTATATATATATATATATATATATATATATATATATATATATATATATAGCATATCTTCATGCAAACATGTTTTATTGAATAATAGATATATTAGGTCTATCCATTTTATAATAATCATTTCTAGTTTGCTAACCAGTTTCTAGATGTTAAGATGAAATTCATCAAGGAAGCTGCCATAGTTTTTCTTACCCAAGTATTTTTTGATATCCTCTGAGGTCACACTCAGGGATGAATTACAAAGACAAACTTATTGTAAAAAAAACAAAAAAACAAAAACACATGTGAATGTGCTCCATTATAAATATTTTAAATTTATCTGTTGTTATCTATGGAATTTAAAAAAAATATGCATCCCAATATAAGGGAGCTGATCAGAAATATATATATATATATATATATATATATATATATATATATATATATATATATATATATATATTTATTTATTTAAAATATGATTCCAAAATGCTATATAAGAAGTCTCATGTTTCAAAAAAACAAGAGCCGAAAACTTCAATATAATTATTTAAATTAAATTGAGTTAAAATAACTAAAATACTAATAGACTTTGGATTATTTACCTAACCAGTTCTTTCCTATTTTCTATATATTTTCTATATATATTATATATATATATATATATATACACACATACGTGTGTGTGTGTGTGTGTATATATATATATATATATATATATATATATATATATATATATATATATTTCTGAATTTTACAAAAATTGATCTAGCAGGAACAACCACTTATGTGGAGATATATTATTTGACAATTATTACTGATTAGTGGTCCTCACTTGTAGCCTTGTGCCAAACTAAGTCTATTATCTCCCCTTGCTTTGAATATAGTTACCATGTCTGGTCTGGTCTGGTGCTCCTGTTATATATTTAGAGATTTTTGATAAAAAGGCATGAGGCACCAGATAGATTGAATAAACCTTATGTTTTTGTTATCTTCATTATGGAGTAATGCTTCCATATCCGGACTGGAGCTATCCACTTTTCACATTCTGGTCATGATAAATCCAAAAAAGCATCTACACGGCATTGTGGGTGATGGATTATTTTCCACCATAAACACTTTTCCCAGGGACAAAATGTTCCAAGCCGTTTGTTACTTTATCACTATTTCCATGCAAAATGTTCAGACATGCTACACTCCTTGGTTTCATCAACTCTAATCCTTCACAGCTAAGATGTGCCATGCTACATGCACTGAGGAAAACCAGTCTCAGATTCCACTAGTAAAAAGTAAGTTCTATTTGGATAGCTTATTCCCAAGAACTTTGTGGAATGAAATCCAAGTTAAAATTGTAGTGGCTAAGAAAGCATCCTCTTTTAACTTGTTCAAGTCTAGCGTTAATCATTATCTTTCCCATGTATCCTTATAAACTACACCTCTCACCTTTTACTCTTACCACTCACACAACAATCATCTTTAGTAATCCTCTGCCTTGAGTGACTTTTGGGCTCTATATATAGTGAACATTAGTTAAAAAAAAGAAAAAAAAAGTTTTTTTTTCTTTTTACTAATGTTCACTATTTATAAGAAAAAAGAAATCTTTTTTTTATCACAGTCCCTTTTCTGTCTTTTTCATCTAATTCCCCATTATTCTTGTGACAAACATATTCATAAATTAGAATGGCAATTTTAAATAGAAACACTGGGTTTTTACCTCCAATCTAGTTTGTAGATCTTGGCAATTCTGTTTAAGTTCATTGACAATATCAGTTGATTCAGCTGGTGCATGTGTTTGTGTCCATGATTCAATCTGGAAATGTAAATCAGAAGATTTGAACGTAATCTCTTTGCGGAGATGTATAGATATACTTCTATGTATAGTTTTTTTTTTCAAACAGTTTTACATTAGAAAGAAATAGAAGTAAATTAAAATGCAGTGACTCCTTAATAGTAAACCATTATTAATTTAAAAAACAATAGTAGTCAGTGGTTTTATTACATTAGGCTAAAAATTATTACAAACTGAAAATCTAAAAAGAATTGCAAAAATTGTCCACAGGGTAGAAATTTGAGGTTTATCTAATGTTTAGGCCAATCTGAGTCAGTACCAAAGCAAGGTAGGTGTCTCATTTTCTCCAGAGCTGAAGTAAGTTATCGATAGTTATCAATCATTGACGAAACATCTTTCAATAGCTTTTTTTCTAACTTATACCGATTGCTTTTTAAATAAATGATGACAACCATTGAGTTAACTCAGTAAATGAAAAGGCACACTGTAATTGTTGCTTTAAAAGATTCCTGAAAGTTTAACACCACTATTGTTGTCAAAGTTTGCAAAGAGTTGGAAGCAGTTGGTGGGGATTCTACAGCAGTAGCTAAACATGAAACATTTAAGTTTCCTAATACCATCATAACCCCTAAATTTGTACAGAAGGTGCATGAAATTATTGATAAGACACCAAGAAGGTCAATTAATACTATTGCTAACAAGCTCAAAATTTCGGCGTACTCTATTGGAAGAATTGTGCATATGTGATGTGGAGATGTCAATTTATGTTTTGTTGGTTTCAATCCCAGGTAGGAATGAATTCAAAATACTTTCCATTCTAATTTTATAGGCTGAAACACACAAATGCATGCTGGGATTTTTCCTAGCTAATAAAACAGTCCAGTTTGCAGTTTCATCTAACTCAGTCCTAATCTGTCTTATCTTCAAGTCAGAATGCTATGTTTGCTTGTCCAAACTTGCTTTTGTGTGTCAAAATCAATTCTTAGTTTATGAACTTTTTGCCATATTACTGTTGCTTTGTCTTGTATATGTCATTTGCTTGCTTTATATTATTTTTTTCCCTATTCCTTTCTGTTCTTTTCTTGTTATTGCTTATTGTAAACTTTGTCAATTCTGTTTGTTGGACAGTTCTGCTATTTACTTTGTATTTGGCCATGGCTACTCACTCCACATGTCTGCAAAGACAAAAGACAACCATCTGATTCATGCAAAGTGCTTGTTGAGCAAGTTGAAACATTGAGAGCCTGGAATGCTTTGGTTTTTCTGTGATGAGAAAAGCTATGGTCAGAATATAAGAAGCAATTCATCTTTAGGATCATCCGGCAAAGCAAACCAAATTGAAATTCTCATTAAATATCATCATTGTGTTTGTAATGAATTACCATACCCTTCTTTTCTTATATACAGTGTAACCTGGATATAAGAGAGTTGTCGGGACCGGAGAAGAAGTCTCTTATATCAGGGTTTATCTTATATGCAGGTTTGGTCTATTTTATATACATTAACACAGGCTCTAATTTGGGACCAGAGAAAATCTCTCTTATATCTGGGTTACACTGTATATCTATATTTAATTGTGTGCTGATTTTATTCAGAAGATATTTTCATATATATAGCACTTGGCCTTTATCCAGTGGTGGGATTCAAAGATTTCAAGAGTGGATTCTCTCAACAATAGGTCTTGGTAGCAAAGGGTTCCCTCATTTTTCCATAGTCTATACTTTACTATATGGATATAATTTATGAATAAAGCAATTTTTTCTTGCACTTATTCAAAAATACCAAAATTAATCTGCATTTCATTTTGAAAGGAAAAATAATTCAAAGAAATGCTTTAAAATCTTTTATTCATGATCTTTCATTTTAAAAATTTCCAAATAGCCACTTGATTGTCATCATAGTCTTAAACATTTTTTTTTTGCCTTACTCTGTTGTCATTGACACTGATATTTTTCTAAACCATGTTTTAACGAAAAGGATGGCATCCTATAAATCTTCCAAATAGCCACTTTCAGCTTTTTTTACCTCACTCTGTTGTCATCAACACTGATATTTTTCTAAACCATGTTTTAAAGAAAAGGGTGGCATCCTATAAATCTAATGGGAGACCAATGACTGATTGTCATCAAGTTTGCTGCATTTTCCACTGTAAGGCGGCTTCTTTTATCTGAATATATAATATTAATTCTTAAAAAACCTCTTTCTGCCTCAGAAGAACTGATAGCAATCGTATTGATAATAGTTTTCATTTTTTGTGCATGTTGAAGAATTACAGGATTATGAAAGTTTTTCAGGACATTTTCCACATAATCATGAAAATCATTAATAGGAATGTTGTCATGAAAATTTTTACTGAAGCCATTCAGCTTTTTTTCTGCAGCTTTCCAGGGAATAACGATTTCTTGAACATTCCAAGTATTTGGCTCTAGAAAGTTCTGCAGTTCCTAAAATTTATATTAACCTTTATTTGATCACCTGAATTTACATCCCCATCTGATTATGTGACTACAATATGTAGACAATCGAAAATTAGCAGTTTGTTTGTTCTGGTTGCTGCTAGCAATCGGTTTGCTGAGCACATAAAATTCCAAGAACAGGTTTGCACGAACCTGTGTAAACTGGCTGAATTCTGCCATGGCCTTTGTCTTGTTATTTTATTTAACATCTTAAATCCCAAACATGATGATCACTAATTTCTCCTCCAGGCACAGATTTCAGTATCTTGATCCTGTTTCATAACTAGTGGCCCATTTCCTTTTTATTATTTTTTAATTTATTGATGAAGAAATTGGTCTATATTTCTGAGATGACGTAACTATTTACACTATTTAGACTGTTGTCCTCATTTTTATTGTCATATTCACAACGTTTTGGCCATTGTACACGCCAGCCTTCTTGATATGATATACGTTGAAATTTCAAACATGGCCCAATGGATAAAAGCGTTGCTTGAAGTAATCCAGTGACTTGACCCAAAGAGTTGCGAGTTCAATATCTGGCCCCAGCAGAGGTGAACAAAAACTTGAAGAGTTGAGTTAATAAAAGGAATTAAGTCAAACTGAGATATCCAGAAAAGGCATGGCATGTGGAACTAGAACAATCTACCCCAGTGGACTAAATAAAAGGTTTGCTTCGAAATTCCAACATATATCATCTGAAGAAAGTTGGAGTGTACAATGGCTGAAACAGTGTGAATATGATAATAAAGATGAGAACAACAGTCCAAACAATGTAAATAGTGATGAAGAATGATTCTCATTTTCTCTAATGTCCCATATATTTTAGGATGAGCTTAGACTGTGGCAACATAGCAAAATGCTGTGGTACCTGTATTCAAACCACGTCCACAGCAAGTTTTTCCTTCAACTTTAAAAGGAGAAAAAGAGAGAAAATTAACTCATTTTATCATAGCAAAATCTTTTCTTTGAAGTCTAAACTGTGTGTCATCATCAAAACCTGAAATTTATTTGTTCCATGTGTGTTTGTTTCATTTTCAAACAAAACAAAACATACTGTCTCCAACGACACCATACTAAAGTGCGAGAGAAGACATGTTGAACTATCAAAAGAAGCTAAAAAGGGCAAGACATTGGAAGCCTTTCTCAAACGAATAAGCTAAGTTTTCTCCTTTTTTTTTTAATGAACTTTAAAACTTTACTAGAAAACATTTAGGTCAACTAATTTTCTGCAATCTTTGAAATATGAAACAGAATTTGGTTTTTCATAAATGTTCAATAATAAAGAATTATTTGATGTTTTTTTTTTTAATCTTTGTGATGTAATGGAATAACCTGTCACCCCCATGAGTAACTACACTATAGGTAGTAACTTCCTATAAGTATCTGTAAGTCAATTGACTACAGAGTCTAGCTGGGATCTGTTCCAGCTAGACGGTTGAACTCTCTGTCTTTGGACAGAGAGGAACCCAGACGAGGCTCTGCTGTAGGGCAGAGTCTCGTTCAGGGAGTTAGACTGCCCCTGAACCCATTTATGTGGGTTCAAAAAGGGAATATTTTTGGCTGAGCCTACGGGCTTGGAGAACCCACGTTAAATTGGCCTTGTGCCACATGCAACCCATGTGGCAGTGGGTAGCTAAATATACTAGCTGGGATTGGTTGAGACTAGCTGTAATCTGTTCCAGCTAGACAGTCGAACTCTCTGCCTTCAGGCAGAGAGGAACCCAGATGAGGCTCTGTTGTAGGGCAGAGTCTCGTTCGGGGAGGTAGACTGTCCCTGAACCTGGTTATGCAGGTTCAAAAGGGGAATATTTTTGGCCGAGCCTATGGGCTCGGAGAACTCACATTAAACCGGCGTTGTGCCACATGCAACACTCATAGCATGGGGGGGGGTAACTAAATATACTAGCTGGGATTGGTTGAGTACAACTCAGACTTATGCGAGAACCACCGAGCTTCCAATAGTAGCACTCACTACTGGATTGACTGCGACGACCTTGTGCATAACTGTTGTTACCTTTATTCTTATTGTGCTGGTTAAACCTTTACTTATTTTATCCACCGTGTTTGTCAAGTATATCCTATTTAGGATAGAATATAAAACTTTGAAAACTTAACCGTCTTGGTTATTTTTCTATTAAAATATAACACGCTTTGAACATGTTTTTCTTTTTATGACATGAAAAAAAATTAAGAACGAAAGATGTTACGTTTTTCTTAAGGTGGTTGTGGGGATTTTCCAAGAAAAAAATTAACTAGAGCCCTATGCAGATATATTTTCAAATAAAAGAGATAGATGAAAGGAATTTCAACAAATGTTACAAGTTTATTTCAATCTTACAACATTTATGTCTACCGGGGGGGGGGGATGAAATGAACATCATACACATACACCCACGACATAATAATAAAACACTTCATTTTAAAACAGCAATACTTAAATAGACTGGTCCCCTCAAGAAGGAAAGAAAACTAAAAAAGTCAGGGATCAGTTTGACATTGTATTTATATTGTAAGCGGGATTCCACTATCTAAAATAATAGATAATTAATGTTTTTAAATTTTGACAAATTGCCTGAGAAGAGGAAATTCTTTTGAATGCTAGGTGACAAGAATTAGTCATGAAAATATTTTTATCTACAAGAAATTACTAATTAATATTCATGTCAGAAAGTAAAGGACACTTTTTTTTAACATTTACAGTAAATGATTTACTGTTGTCTATTGTAATGTAAACAAGTCTAAACTCATAGAAAAATAATGTTATTCTTTTTTTTTTTTTTTTAGTACAGTGTAACTCGGATATAAGAGTTGTCAGGACCGGAGAAGAAGTCTCTTATATCGGGGTTTGGTCTATCTTGTTTAGGTAAGTATGGGAACACTTTGGGACCAGAGAAAATCTCTTATATCCGTGTTACACTGTATTTCTATTTATATAATGTTTTACTGTGATAAAAAGATTTGAGTTGATCCTAACAACGTACACTTCCTTTATTCAGAGGTTCAAATGAAGAAAAAAATCTTTAGTTCGAAACCTTGTTACTGTACCTCTTCATTAATCTGCTGAAGTTAGGCATATACAACTATCACCTACCTTTAGTGTCCCTATTAAAAAAGCTATACAATACAGACTCTTTTAGAAAGTGTCTTCTCAATAATTTTATACCAATCTTAATTTTTACAGCTAAGTTAAAAGGTAGCATAAACCAGATAATATCCCTCCCCATTATTCTTTATTTTTAGGGGATTCTTTTCCCTTAAATTCGATTTGCATTTGTCCTTTTCATTTTTTTTTTAATGCCACCTCATATTCATCTTTGACTTCATTAAATATACTAATGTTTGATTAGTTCACTAACAACCAATATTCAGTACCCTTGGGTATTTGTGTGGGTAGATTAGTCATTTTCATAAAATAAATTACATTTCATAAATATTTAATTTTGTTAAAGATTTATATAATCTACTTACCATCAATGGTTTGCTTGTAGTTTTCTTTAAGATGTTAAGTACGGATTTGGTATGGCAGAGTTGCGCCAAGATATTGTAGTAGGTCTCTTCTGAAATACCGATTTGCTTAGTTTTGGAACCGGTATCAGATAATGGTAAGCTGCAAAAAGTTGCTTCCTGGCTGCTCTTCCCAGAGACAAAATCTTTTAATAAACTAGAATATTTAGCTTCCATTTTTTGGCATTCACTCTTCAAAATTTTGATTTCATTCTCTTTGGCAACATTCATCCTGATGAGATTTTTTATCCCTAGCAGTCGAAAGTTCATAGATTTTAAATGCGATTTAGGGATTTGTATGAGTTCACTTTCCAGTGGATTCATTGGATATTCTGGCTGCCAAAGTAAACCTTAAAAAGAAAGAAAATCATTACCATGGCAATATAATACTAAAGGGTATTCCAATAACTTGGACTGATTTTAAATGTGAATTAAGTTTAAGTGTCTAATGATTTTTTCTTTTTCTTTCAGATTTAACAACTTAAGTGTTTGGCAATTTCAACCAGTCCATATGACATGGTGGGTCTTACCTGTAAATACCTGAACTGGTGGAATTAGGGGATGTAGTTCATCATTTTTCATGGGAATAGCAATAGAGTGGTGATAGGCTTGCAACATTGTGTCTATGGGGATAGAGGTTGCAAGGTGGAAAATAATTCATCACTTACAAGGTCACATAACTGCTTTTGAACAGCTCCCACCCAGGTATGGCAGCAATACTCCATTTTTTGATCTGACTCTTGTAAAAATAGAGCAGTGTTTCTCAATTGGTATGACTGGGTGTACTAATGCATCCTAAAAGGTAGCCATGTGTAACCCAAGTTAATAGAAGAATAATTTATGAATTATCTTTATATTTAAAAAAAAAATCTTTATTTTTAAAAAGCTAGAGACACCAAACACATGTAATGTCTTAAAAATAAATACTTATTTAGGGAACTTCTTTATTATTGTCCTATTTTCAAATTTCAAGACTAATTTTTTCCTTATTAAAATTTAAAGTGCACTGTAATGTTTTAGTTCTACAAGTATTCCCTGAAGTAAAAAATGTTGAGAAGCACTAAAGCATTAAAATTCAAGTTAGTAAAGTTAACTTATAAAATACTAGCAGTATAACCTATCTTTGACAAAGTCTTTCATTACTGGGAATTTTTGCCGTTCAATTGGAGCAGTTAAAAAAAATTAAGAGCAAAAGATGTTACGTTTTTCTTAAGGTGGTTGTGTGGATTTTCCAAGAAAAAAAAAATAACTAGAGCCCTATGCAGATATATTTTCAAATAAAAGAGATAGATGAAAGGAATTTCAACAAATGTTACAAGTTTATTTCAATCTTACAACATTTATGTCTATCGGAAATGAAATGAACATCACACATACACACACGACATAGTAATAAAACATTTCATTTTAAAACAGATAGACTGAGTTAGGTATATACAACTATTACTTTAGTGTCCCAATTAAAAAGGCTATACAATACAGACTCTTTTAGAAAGTGTCTTCTCAATAATCCAATAATTTTATACCAATTTTAATTTTTACAGCTAAGTTAAAAAAGGTAGCATAAACCAGATAATATCCCTCCCCATTATTCTTTATTTTTAGGGGATTCTTTTCCCTTAAATTCGATTTGCATTTGTCCTTTTCATTTTTAAGTGTCTACTCTAATGAATGATTTTTTTTTATTTAGTTATTTTGCCTACTCGTATCAGGGTTTTTTTCTTTGGGCTTTGGACTTGCATGCTAGACGATTATTTTTGGTTAATGTACATGTTCTTGGTTCTTTCTTTTTTTATCCCTTTTTTTTATCCCTTTTTTTTTCCTTTGGTATTGGTTTGATTATTTGCAAATCAAAACACTGAAGCTTTTCTGAACAAGTATAATTTCTTATACTTATAAAGATTATTACTATATGAAAAACTAGGTAATCCGTATGGGTAAACCTAAGGAGGATAAAATCCAGAGAGCTCAATGTAAATCCAGAGCAAATAATTTAAATAAAAACGGACCACCTTAAGGTTCTATGATGTAATAAATTATTTCACCACAGCCCTTTTAAAAGGACTGCGGATCATCAGACTTTACTTCCATATATATATATATATATATATATATATATATATATATATATATATATATATATTTAAAAATTTTAGATGATTTAGTGTTATAGAATAGAAACTAATGATAAAAATATATTTTAAAAACGAAGCCCTGAGGGTGTGTGGATTTTCCAGCACTGAACCTGCTAGTAGCTAAGTAGCAGGATAGTTGTTGATAGGGACTTAAGTAGTATTATTAATTAGTACTACTGTTAAATCTACTTCTGAAAAGTAATACTTGTATATAATTATTAGTTATTTAAGTGCAAATTCAAACTTAAAATTATGATAAAATGTATATCAAATAAATTATGGGAATTATTGTTGGCAAGTTTTTGACCTGACCAGCAATTTTTTTAGTCATTTGATTACATTTTGTGAATTGGGTTGGACCCAAACTTTTCAGCACTTTCCCAAGCATACGAAAACAAAGTAATTATGGCAGATAGTTTTTCCTTATATAATGAGGACAGAAGGCTTGGAAAATTTAACCCTTAGAGATGTCATCAAAGACAAAAGAAGAAGAAAGCAGCAGGTTTTGTGTAATAAGTTGAATGGAGAAACAATTACCAGAAAAAGGATTCATAAATAAAGGGGAAAGTGTTGTCCAGAGCAACAAAAAAAGACAGGAAGTTGTGGAGAGACATAACCATTGTTGTTCTGAAGGTATACACAGCACATAGAGGGAGATCTAAAAACTGACTAGCGAAACTGTAAATTATCTAAAAATCTAAAAACTGACTAGATAAACTCTAAATTATTTAAATATTTTTTTTTCAAAATTATAAATAAGACAAAAAATTCTAGTTTACACAGGCGAGGAGGTAGTTTGCTAATGCAAGTCTCACTTTCTTTTTCTTTTTAAACAGACATGATGAAGATGGACGTTGGTTTCATTCAAGTTATATTTGTTTAAGTTTAATGAATGTTTACACCAGATGAATAAATAATTAGTCTTCCAGACTAAGCTTTTTGATTTGATTTGACCATGTAGTTATATTTGTAATGTATGGGAGAAAAACATGATTTAAAAAAAAAAACAAATTGTGGAAGTGATATGAAATTCGTACGGGGAAAACACAAGGAAGGTAATCAAAGTTATGAAGAAATTTAATAAAAAATAAAAATGTATGTTGTCAGAATTCGGTCCGAGTTGTAAAGTTGAATGATCATCACGTTTAGACCTTTTTTTTCCCCCCGTCCCCTTCATTTGACATTTAAAAGTTCAACTTTAAACTTTTCTTTCCCAAACGACGCAACAACTTAGTGAACTAGTTTACAATTTCTCGCACTTGTAATGGTGTTACAAACTGAAAGTAAGTTATTCTGATTTGAAATTTAATTGAAAAAATATTATTTACTTAAACATTAACATTTAAAAAGTTCAGTTAATAATGTTTAAAACCTTTAAACTTAGACCGTTTAAAAAACATTTAAAAGTTAAAACGAGAAATAACATACATACGAAGAAGAATCTTTTTTTTTTAATTACATTTCAACTAACAAACTAAACCAGTAAAAAAAACGTTTTCATTTGTAATTTTTTTTTTCGTTGTTGTTTATAACTACTTTTTAGGTATTCAAAAGAATTAAAAAAACAAATTATATCGATTCTAAAAAATAAAAATTACTTACGTTTTGATTTATTGGCCTGATTTTTCGGGAGATCTTAACAGTTGCACTTGTTCTTCGATTTATTTCAAAAGTGAAAGTTTTTCGGCAATATATAAAACTAGAAATGAAACTATGAGCTGAAAAACAGGTTAGTGGAATTTCTCTTTATTTCGTTACTTAAGAAGTGATAAACACATTTTCTTGGTATCAGGAAGGGAATTAGTTAAGGGAATTTATTTTAAAAAGTTAACAAATGAAAAGATAAACTGACGATTCATTATCTCTGGATTTCCCACATTTTCAATTTTAATTTTAGAACGAAACAAAAACCCATTTTTTTCAATGAAGATTTAAAAAATGGGTTTTTGCTTCTTCATCAATATTTTTTTAGAGACCCAATATTTCCAGTATTGATTTTTTTTATTGACATATTTATTTTTATCAAATATTTTGTAAGGTAGAGACTAAATTTTTTTTTCAAGTTATAACTGTTACACTAGGAATATTGACCACATACTGATAGAGATGTGGTGATACAGAAGGATGCTGAGAATACCATGGACGAAACATATGAGCAACGATTAAGTTTTAAGGAAAATTTGTGACAAACACTTCATATTTCCGAATAATCGCAATTAGGGATTGTGGTCTGTGTACAGTGTACACTAACTTAGTATACTGTAAAATAAAAATGTGCAGTATCTGACAGTCGTATATGTACTAGTTGAACTTCGTCACCCCGATCACAATGGTCCATGCTTCCTAGTAATTTCTTTCTGCTGAAAACAGTTTTTAATTTCAATCTATTCGATGTTCGTATCCACCCATCACTTGTGTAAAAGACGGCTCCCAAGGCATACGGTGATGTATCAGATCAAAATCAGTTGGAGAGCGGGCTGTGGGGCACTAATAGCCTCCTATTCTTATTTGTTTGTTTGTTTTTATAACCTTTTTCTTGGAGAGTAGTTGTATAGTGGCGTGGGACTTAGGGGTTTAAAATGAACAGTTGATTTAACCACGCCAAGAAGATTAACGAAAGATGATAGTGACGAGGAAACACACGGTTAATTTTAACAATAAGGGATTTATTTACGAATTTACACGCTTATGTGTCAGTAGCTCGTTTCAGAAAATTAAATCAAATTTTTAAAGTCCGTAGTTTTAACGAATTGTCATGAAGAGGAAATGTTCATACAACATTAATATGTTGTATAATCTGACACAAAATAATATTTAAGAATGTTTAAAACAAAAGGTTCGTAGCTCACAGAAGGGATATACGTTTGCATACATTCAAAGCTAGATGAAGGGAGATAGTTTGAAATACTTAACTTTCTTGGATTATTGAAGGGAAATTCTTTGAAGTGCCACTTGGTTAGATGCCGATAATATAATTGGTGAATAATTTGACACTGGCGAAAACTTCAAAGCTGGATGCAGTGAACAGAAACGAAACCTTTCACATGACTTCAGTCACTCTTCTCTTATTAATTTAATTTTTCTCCTTATTTTATATCAAAGATAATTTTGCATAGGCTCGCTACTTTCTTTTCTTTCTTCTTGGCTCAACAGCTAATTTCTGTGAAGACAAGGTTTTAATTGGTTCAAAAACAATTTCAAATAGGCACACGAATTTATTCCCGTCTTCTTCGCAGCTCATCGGTCAATCTATGTGAAGGCAAGGTTTTCATTCGTCCAAAGAAAATTTCACATAAGCTCACGAATTCCTTTCCGTCTTTTTCCTCAGATAACCCGAATTTGAAAGGAATGGGTAAAGAGAGTTATTATTTCGCACCCACCACAGTCGCTTGAAAATCTTCTCTCACAGAGTTCTTTGCGTAGTAAGTGATTCCAACACGTGTGCTAGATTTAGTATGGAGTTATGAACGTGCTATAATAATTAACTATACAAAATCAAGCAAGTATGGAAATTTAATTTAGCTATCTTTTCAGACTACAGAAAAAGTGACAGAAACTCGAAGGTACCTTGCAATAGCGTAATATGCTGTCCAAAAGCTAAACAAACTATTAACAACAGGAAAATTTCGTTAAAAACAAAGAAAAGAGTTATAAAATGTTATGCAATATCAATCCTTCTATATGGTAGTGAATGCTGTACAATCTTCTCATAGATGAAGAAGAGATTTGCAGCAATAATAAAGATATGGTTTTACAAAAGGATGATAAGAATACCATGGGCGGAACATGTAAGAAAGAATGAAAATAGAAACAAAAAGGATATTTACATTTAGAATCAGAAACAGACAGTTGAAATTTCTGGTACACCTAATGAGAAAATAAGGTTTGGAGAATTTGACACTCACAGGACATATTGAATGCAAGAAGCGTAGAGGGGAATAGCAAGTAACCCATCTAACGAACTTATACAAATTGGATAGCAGAACAGGGTGTGAGAGGGACAGAAAAGCTAACGTTGCTAAGAACTACAAAGAAGGGGTAGTTGTAGGGTGTCAGGATCGTTCACATCGTGAAGGGACACGGAAGGAAAAAAATGGAAAGGCTTTATGTTCCATAACATTTCGAGAGCTGGGGCTTGTTTCACATCTTTTGCATTTCCGGATACTGGTTTTAACTCTTTTGCAGGCATTCTGTGTCTAAGTTTTCCCCGACTGCATAATTTACACATCCAATTTGAACTGTAATCCAGCATTTTGTATGTGTTCTGAAACTTTATTTTATTTCTGTGTTTGGTATAATTCCAACCAGTCAATGAATTAACCAAAAGTGTGTTTTTTTTTTTACAACAATGTTCACCCTGTACAAGGTTCAATAGCCACTCGAGGTAGAGAGCTACAGAGTAAAACGCACAGTTTGTAGGGGATACGCGGGGAAGATAACGGGTAACTCTAGACTTGAACAGGTTAAAATTGTAATGATCAAGGAAGCATCCTCTCGAGAGTAGGTTCTACAAAGTAGCTGTTCATGGGAAGAAATTGTTCGAGTGGAACTTTCATCTCACCAATGGAATACGAAGGGAATCAGGGTGGTTCACAACAATATGCATATTACGGCGGATCTTAGCTATGGAGGTTAGAACTGGTGGGATTAAGGAATGTGGTTCCTCCGAACACCTTCCATGGAAATAGCGATAGAGTAGCAACAGGCTTGTAATGGTTCACCTGTGGGAAAATGGTTGTAGAGTGAAAAGTAATTCACCACGGATACTCTTTTAGACTCTATCGAGACTGAAAAGTGAAACCTGAATATCTCCTGTCCAGAAATGGCAGCAGTACTCCATGTTCGGCCTGATCTGACTCTTGTAGAGGTAAAGGATAGCAGGAGGAGTCAGGTACATACTGGAGCGGTACAGGGAACCAACCATTTTTCCCATTATCTTTAGCAATGACTCGTATATACGAGTTCCATTTGAGGTTTAGGCTGTGCTTAAGTTCCAATAGGCGTTCAAAAACACGGGGCCTCCCTGAGAGAAACCCTGTATTCATTGAGATAGGCGAAAATTCAAGATCAGTTCGGTAATGACGGAATCGGGCATTAAATGTGACCTCGCCCTTCATCGAGCTGTTAAAACTCGGCCAAAGGAGAGATCAGCTGTCAGGCACTGGTCATCTAGAGTTTGGGAGATGCATTCATAGTGATTTTCCAAGCGTAGCTTAGATGTGGCAGAAGGCCGAAAGTATGGGGCACCCAGTGAGGATCGAACTCACTACTTAGTCATAATTGTTCTCTCGTTTGCATAAAAAAAAGAAAAGAAAATACAATAAAAACTTAACCGAAACAACTTGTCAGTCATTTTTAATGAAATGTGCATAATAGAGGAATTGTTGTCCAAATATACAAATAAGAATTATTCTATACTTCCTTATTAATGTAAACTGTAATCAGTCTTTCACTACTTATTTTAAAAGTATTAACCCGACATACAAATTACAAATTGAAGATATCAAAATATCTTTTTTAAATTATTGCTAGATCTGCTGATAGGAACGTTGGTTCCCTGTGTCATGCTAGACAATTTTTCTTGCCTGAATCTATCTTACATATTTATACCGTTTGTCCGAATTTGCTTTGAATATTGCTGCCACCTATGATCTGGTTCTCGTGCTATATATTTAAAGATCCTTGATAATATCCAAAGAAGAATCTGCAATATCATTGGTTCTGACGTGGCATCACGGCTTCAGTCACTTTCCCACTTCCGTAATGTACCGTCCCTGTTCCTTGTCTATAAATACTTTCATATTAATTATTCTGATGAACTTTCCTCTATGGTACCTAAACTCTGTGAATTCAAGTGCAGAACTAGATTGGTGGCAAGGTCTCATCATTTTACAGTTAAAATGGCTAGATGTAACCACAAGAAGTACGACAGAAGAGACAGGTAGTATAGAACATACGGTTACGAAAAATTAACTGAAATTCCTTATGCACAAAATGAGGAAGGAAGGCTTGGAAAACTTAACCCTCACAGGGCATATTAAAGACAAGAGAGATAGAGGAAGGCAGTGAGCCACTTACCTGACGAACTAAAGCAGAAATTGATTAGTAGAGCACACACTAACGCGGCACCGAATAAAAATAAATAGCTAGTCTAAATGAATTCATTTTTACAAGGAGAAACTTTCCTAATGTCTTCGATATATGAACGCCCAACAGGTCAGTTCTTAGAATTCTGATACATACCCATTAACTTCACAAGCGAAACTGTCAGAAGTAAATTGGTTTGTTGGTTGTTTTTGTTTAGCGGCATAACAACCTCTATAAGTTATTGTAATTCCCCATGTATAATACGCATTTTTTTCTAAAATAAAAAATAATCAGCAAAATTACTCACCACAAACATACAAGAATTTGACACTAACATTCGGAGATTGCGACCCCGTAAGGATGTCAAATACAATCATATGTACCTAACAATACTTACAAATGTAAAAATAAAATAAGAATTATCATAAAACTAAATTAGAGAATTATTCTGCATTTAAAACAATTTAAAAAAAAATAAAAGTAGGAAACGCTGGCCGTAATGATATTGGAGAAGTACAATACAGGGTTTGATTACCAAACAAGGGGTGTGTATTATGCGTGAGTAGAAGAATTTTCCCACATTTTCAGCACAATTTTAGGGGTGCGTATTATAAATGGAGGCGTATTATACATAGGGTATTACGGTATTTAATGCCGAAATATAAGTATTTTGTACACAACTTTATTTTATTCTTTTTGGGGGATAATAATGTTTTGTTTTAATGATACAAATCTTACAAATTAACCCATAGCTGGAGAGAGAAGAGGTGGATTCATGCTTTTCCCAAGGGTATTTGTGCATGAATATTGTTATGATGTTGATTTGGGGTTAGTAGAGACAAACGCCAAATAACACGTAACAATAAAAAGGGTTTTAATAGGTTGGTAAAAAGGTACAGAAATCGCCTGAGTAGCCAATAACTAGCTCAGCTAAGAACTTCTCTGTCTTCTGTCTTCCCCCATGTCAACTGACATGCCACTATTTAAAGTCTTTGTTCACAGACGCAGACAAGTTCATCTTCAAGAAGGGTGGTAGGTTTCCGACACAACAAACTGAATATAACGAACCCAATTGGTACTGAAACTCGGCTCTTTGATAAACAATCCCGAACCATTGTCCATCACACCACCCGCACATCCAAGCTTTCAGCACCTGAAATTCCCAAGCGGTCACTAAGTACTGTTACTGACTAAGCTCGACGTTGCTTAACTTCGGTGATCATACGGGAACCGATGTCTCAACGTGATGTGGCCGTAAGCCTATTTTTTTTAAGTAAAGAAAAATTCCAGGTGAAAAGGCCTTTTCTTAGAGTATCATATGATAAATATGGAACACGCCATCAAATTTATTACTTATTATTTAGAATGGTTAACCAGGCGAACTCACAACACGCTGAGTTATAAACCTTTCCTGGTACAGGGCCACAAACATGGGACACCTAGAGTGGATGGATCGAACTCACTACTCATAAGGAATGGTTGACCAGTCGAATTATCTTACATTAACACTGAGTCACATTAATAGTTATTTACTAAGTTTGGGTTAGTCTGGCACAAGGCTATAAATATTGGGCACCCAATGAGGATTAAACTCACTGATCATTCTGAAAAATAATGGCCGACCTGACGAACTAACTCACTAACAAAGTCTCTAAACTAACCATTACTATGACTCACACAAGCTTACATTTTGTTTCAGTTTCACTAGGTTGTGTGTTGACAAATCCCCGACGAAAGTGATTGTGTTGGCAAGTTTGACATATTTTTGCGTCAGACGACAAAAATGCTAGTTTTCTAGTTCTGTAGTAGAATTTTTTTTTATGTTTTTGTGGAAATACCTATAGCAGTTTTTTTATGTGAGTGAATAAAAAAGTAAAACTAAAAAAAGTGTACACACTGTACAGTGTACACTTCATATTTGAAGCCTAAAGAAATACGCTCTGAATGTGTTTTTTCTTTCGAATATTATTTTTCTAGGTTGAGCCTTGGAAGCTTCCAGGAAGCTGATAGTAAGTTAAAAGTACTTAATGAAAAAAATAAAACTGTTTTCTGACCGCCACTTAGCTCAACGGAAACTAAAACTTTCGTGAGGATCGTTAAACTACAAAATTTATTTCAGTTAGTCACCTTGTGACTTGTTTTTAGTTTTTATTTACTATTGCTTTTTTTCTTTTTGTTTGTTATGAATGTTCAATAATACAAGCATTTTCTTTTCTTTTCTGTAACGGCAGGAAATTCCCCCATTCATGTTGGACTTCTGATGGAAACTTCCATAGAAATCCTAAAATTTATCATCGGCAGCATACATATTTTTTTTAAGTAGCTATTTAGTTAAAGAAAAATACCATATTATGTGGGTGAGAATTCAATGGGAATTTTTGTGTATTTATTTTAAACATGTGACATGGTTGATGATTTCCTTTTTTAGTTTTACTTTTCAACAGTTATTTTTTTATTTATTTATAAAGGAGCTTTTTAATTAAAATTTCCGTCACACTGTGATAGAATTTGTTTTATTTATGTCTGTTTTGCACATGAGTGTCTTGTCACTTTACATGCTTGTTGTGCCACACACGCATAGTTCAGTTAAATTTTAAATAAAGTTGGTACCACTAAAAATAAATGGATACCTTTTTTTTCTGCAGTGAAAAGAAAAACTCGAAAACACATTGTTTTAAACAAAGATATTTGCCAAACACCAGGGAATTATCCGATTCAAACGAAATTTTCAGTACTTATTCATAATGAATTAACTATTTTTTTATTGAATAGGTTCGTTATCGTTATTAAAACAACTTTTTGGGGATATATTTTTGCAGGAGGGGGTTAGATTTCACCCTCTCTTTCGATATCGCGTGTGTACTTTTTAATTTGGGATGAGAGTTCGTCCAATTTTTTTACAGTTAAAAAGAAATCCCTGAAAATAATATTATTTCAGTAAAAGTTTATGCAATATCCAGTGTGAACATACGGAAAATTAGACCTGAATCTTGCCATAAACAAAACAGTTCATTGGAACCCCCAAAATAATTTTTGGGAGAAATGGTGCTTCTTGCATAATTATAATTTAATTTAATAAGAAACACGCTATTTTTTTTTTAGATTCGACAGGAAAAAAATTAATAATTATTTTTTTAAAAATACTTGTAATTTTTCAGTGTAATTTTGAATTTAATCCCGTTGCTGTTCGTCACAAGCTTTGATTTCATTAAATAAAGACATTTTTGAAGATTTAAAATGTCCATTTTAATGTGATTTTCGAGTGTGTACCATTTTTAAAAGAATTTTATTTTATTTTTTTCCTTTTAGCAACGATTAGATTGTTTTTCGTATGGATGTACAAAAAGGAAATAATTTTGATATATTGCGTTGACAGACTGCTATTCAATGTCGAGGGAGTGTTATGATCTAATTCTATCTCCCATTAAGTCAGTGTAAAAATAAAATGATTCATTATATTAAGTTTAATAAAAGCATATAGAATAAAAAATATTCTTGAACTATTGGTTAAATAAGGTTAAAGAAAACTTAGTTTTAAACATAATTAACAAATTCTTGATTATAGCACTGCTGCTCTTTTGTACTTCCTTACATTTTATTTTTGACTTTTTCCCATGCTTTTTCTAACAGGGGTAGAATTACAATCATTCTACTTTGTACTTTGTTTGATCTTATACTACAGGCTAGGGTGCATAAATACAACATTATTTTCATTGTTTTTAACTTTTATGTAAAAGGTAAGCATTACTTTTATAAAATTCGGTTAAGTCATCCTTACTAGCAGACTTCGAAACACATCTCTAGGACAAATATTAGATTTTAAAGAGAATTTAAAATTTTTTGTTTTCATTTTTCATATACAATGGCGGCGAGATGCATGTGTAACGGAAAAACTTATCAATGTTTTAAAAATGCCTCAAAAGTTTTTATTCATGCAGGTAAATTAATTTTTCTTTTCATACAGATTTTTAGAGCCTTAGCTAGAGACCATATAAATAAATAAATAAAAATAGAACAAATTTAAGTTCAAAGAAGTCATTTAAATTCTTTTTCTTCTCCTCCTCCTCCTACTACTACTACAAGAAGAAGAAGAAGAATGGCCTTGAAATAGAAATCTCGAAAATGTGGCATATGGGAACATCAACAATCCCTGTTGTAGTTGGAACCCTAATACTGGTTGGAAAAGATTGCAGTAGACTAATTGGAGGGATTCCTGAAAGTCCATACCTCAAGGAGATACAAAAAATTGTTCTGACAAGTACAGCCCACAGTTTACGAAGAGCTTTATCTATGTAATATTTATGGTCGGCAACTGAAATGGTCGGCAACTGAAACGGTCGGATACGCAGGCTCCTGGCCTCCGTGGCTAGGATGTCGACCCGGGCTGTGTATTAAGTTACGCTCCCATTTTTTTTTGTCTGCCAACTTGACGATAGTTGGAAACTTTCTTTCTCTCTCTCGTTTGCCTACTACTCCTGGCTCCTTGGCCCTGTTCGATGCTCGACATTCCGTCCCTACTGGCTGCCTGCACGTCGTCCATAACCTTTCCCGTACACTATGTTAGTAATTATTACGGGAGGTTACTAATATCAGACTCAACCGGCAGACACGCAACGCCTGCACTGGACCTTTGACATGCCCGAACAACATCGCAACGCCAGCTCCTTTATCCTTCCCAACACGTCAAGTTGACATCCCAGCAACGACCAACATCAACCTCAAACTACAATGACCAGCAGCGATTATCTGCAACGACCAACATCAACTTCAACTGCAATGACCACCTGCAATGACCAACAGCGGTCATCTGCATTGACCAGCAGCGACCACCTGCATGACCAGCAGCGATCATCTGTAACAACCAACCTCGACCATCAATGCCTGCACCGGAACATCTGCACCTCTACCGTTCCGACCACCTTTATTACTTTTCTAGAATAAATTAACATTATATCCTAAATATGCCTCGTTTGTTCACGAGGGGTCCGCTACAAATTGGTGACCCCGACATGATCTGACTAGGCTGGACAATACGGCGACATAATACAAATGAGGCATGTTTGATGTTTAGCAACCACCAGACTCCCGACGCCATTTTCTACGAACTAACACTCTCTTCTTCTGGACTGAAATAGATAAAGTGTGAACCAAATCACTAAAGGCGATCCACTGTCCTTTATTTTCAAACAACATTGGTGATTCCGACATGGAAGCGACACACAAGTTTCACTGGAATAAACGCACAATTCTCTGGACGACTCACTGTTCCATTATGATACAACATCACTGAGGATTTGCATGCACGTTATTCGTTGCTACTAATATTGCAAATTCCGCTTTCTTTTAGTATATGCTACTGGTCATAGCATTTTGCATCTTGTTCATTCCTGAAACTCAAAAAGCGTGCGCATACATTTTTCCTGCACGATGTGGCGACATTTTTAAGCCATTACTTGCTTCCCATATTTCAAACATTTTTTCAGACGACTCACTGTTTCGAAAAACATTTTCAACGCATCTTTCACATAAAATTTGCTGTAAAGATTTACTACATAATCACTAATGAGCAAATTTTATTTTTCAACCTCGCCATGACATTGCAACTCAACATCGCCTATACTAATTCGACTCACAGAATTACGCACATTTTGGGAATTAAGCTAGTTTCCCAATCTTCTCAATCTCTTCAACAACTTTCGGCGATTCTTCTCAAACACACATTTGGCAATCTAATTCAACACTACGTCAGTTGATAACAAATCCACGCTTTCATTACGGCAACACATCTACTCACTAGAGAAATGCACTGCACCCTGATGACAACACAAGCACATTTCGTCGAATCATGCATCTCAACCACACTTCTGACACATTCTCTTTTCAGCTAACAAGGACAATATTCAAAACTTTCAAGAACCTTTTCCTTATATATTAAAAGTTTTCATTTCTTTACAACTTTTAATCTGGTCGATACGCAGGTTCCTGGCCTCCGTGGCCAGGACATCGACCCTGGCTGCGTATTAAGTTACACTCCCATTTTTTTTGTCTGCCAACTTGACGATAGTTGGAAACTATATGAAATGTCTGGTTTGCCTACTCTGAAGCTTACCATCACACAGTGATTCTTCTGGATTAATAATTGTATCATCTTCAGAACTTCACCATTTTAAAAAAAAATTTAAATTGAACTAAAAAATCCTTTAATAACATTAACTATCAATGATTATTTTTTTATATTTTATTTATATTTTGTAATCT